CCCCCCCCCCCCCCCCCCCCCCCGGGGCACCACAGAAGGCGGAACTTGACCATCATCGTGCAAGCCTGACCCCTGGTGACCATAATCTTGAACTGCATGGCCAGCCAGGGGGCAGAAGAGGTCAAGAGGTTTGACACTCACCGTGGTACCAAGGGCTGGGCCAAGTTCTGACCGGCGGAGCTCACGCATCGGGCCGCATCGCCCAGCCCTCTGGTCCAGACGGCTCTAGAACCCTGTGCAACAGGGCCTTCATCACAAAACCCCTCACTTGGGGTTTACTCTTGGGGTGTGCTCTTGAACCATAAATCCCAGGTCACCTAGCAGGCAGATAGAGCTTTAGCCCCCTTGTACCGATAAATAAACTGAGACCAGAGCAGTGAAAGAGATCCCCAAGTCCAGTAGTCAGGGAATCAATGACAGACCCTATATTTGAACCCAGATTCTCTGACTTAAAAGGGTTATTATCCTCCCCGATTTCCCTAAAATCTCCACCCCCTGGGTCACTTAAGGCAAGAAAGCAACGGGGAAACATGGCCTCTAGGACACCGCACTCAAAAAGTGAATTTGTTTCGGGGCGCCTGGGTGGCTCAGTCGTTGGAGCGTCTGCCTTCGGCTCGGGTCATGGTCCCGGGGTCCTGGGATCGAGCCCCGCATCGGGCTCCCTGCTCGGCAGGAAGCCTGCTTCTCCCTCTCCCTCTGCCCCGGCTTGTGTTCCCTCTCTCGCTGTGTCTCTCTCTGTCAAATAAATAAATAATCTTAAAAAAAAAGTGGATTTGTTTTAAAGAAAAGAAATGTATTAAAATAAACGCACTTACTTAAAATAAGCGTCCTTAAATCAATGTAATTTAAGATAAAATGCCCACAAGATAGCTTCCCCCCATCTCCCAAAAGCCCATAAGCACAGGACGGCGGATCTGATAACATCGGGTCTAGAGCGGATGGACGAGACTAGGGGTTGCCGGATTTAGCGAATAAAAATACAGGATGCTCAATCAGATTTGAATTTCAGATAAACAAGGAATGCACTATTTGGGACATACTTACCCTAAAAAAGCATTCCTTGTTTATCTGAAACTCAAATTTAACTGGGTGTCCTCTCTTTTGCCTGGCAATCCTAGACCAGCTGTCATTCCTCACTGAAAGAACAGCCCGGGGCCCCTGGGAGGCACAGAGCAGGTGACCCAGGCGGGGAGAGGGGAGCCACTGCAGGCTTTGAGCAAGGGAAGCCACCGGCTGATGTTTCTTTTCTCGGGGATTATTCTGACAAGGGGGTGGGGATTAAGCTGAAGGGGGATGCTCCTGGTTAGGGAGGGCCAAGGGCCGGCAGGGCTGCATGAGGCAGAGCACGGTGGGGGGAGGTTGCACTCGGTTGGCACACGGGTTGCACGCGGGGGAGGTTACACTCGGTTTGCACACGGGTTGCACGCGGGGGAGGTTGCACTCGGTTTGCACACGGGTTGCACGCGGGTGGGTAGTGGAGCGTTCTGGACGTACTCTGACCCTGGCCCCGGCCGGGACTGCCCCTTTCCACCTCTGCTCCTTCGGAGTCTTGCTGCTTCTCATGTCAGTTCCTCCGGGGCCGGTCCCCTCTCGCACTCACACCCGGGCTCCCACCCCCACCTCTGACTTCCAGCTCCTCTCCTCCACCCTCTGGGGTTCTCCTCACCCCACTCACTGTCCCCTGACGGGCTGTCCCTGTGCGCATCTTCGGCAGCCAGAGCAAGCCTGGGGAAGAGGGAGGGAAGCCACTTTGCTGTTGTTTTCGCTCTCACCTCAAGCTCCCATCTGCCTGGGGGACCGAGCCAGGGGGCCGGTGTCCGGCTTTCCAGAGAGAAGCCGCCCCTGTCCCCAGGGGCCTGACAACCAGAGCAGGAAAGGCCTCCTGCCGCCGCCCACCCCCCCCCAAATCAGGAGGCCCTTCAAGAAGCTATTGTCCACCCCTCAGACCTCAGGTAGAAGGAAGCTACCAGCATCCAGGTCCTCTAGACACAGCACCTCCCCACCCGGCTGCCGGGAAGGGCTTCCTGGCGTCCAACACCCTCCCCCCTTCTCCTGCATTTTATACTGCCTTCCTCCGAGCTGAGTCACAGGAGATGGGGAAAGCTGGTTTTGCCACTCTAGCTAGATCAGAGGTCAACCTTATTCCCAAATGAGGTCACTGTGAGGGTGGAAAAGGGGGGACCTGGGGCAACTCCAGGGACCTGTCCCTCACTTCAGCCACATAAGTGCCATTTATCCTTGGTTTACAGACAGGAGCTCCTTGTAAGAGTCTTATTTTTTTGAGGGATCCGCCAGTGAAAATAGTCATCTGTATACATTTGAACTCTATGGGTAAACCTGCGTGGTGACCCTTTGTTCTCTTGTATGAAGACTCCCTGAGCTCAGCCTTCCCTGCTCCACATCCCAAGACCCTTGCCCCCTCAGCTTTTATTCCCTTCCTGTTTTTCTCCCCGAGGCTTTAAAATCCTGGTGCTGACTGACCCTTTCTCAGAAGGCCTCTTCTTCAGAATCCCCACAGCAGCTCCCTAGCTCCACACTGGCTGTGGATTCATGGTCCATTTCACAGATGCAATCACTGAGGCCCGGAGGCAGCAGAACCCAAACTGGATCCTGGGAGTCTGACTTTGGATGCTGGCCCTCCCTCTGGGGGCTCCCGCTGCATCCCCAACCTGAGCTGCTCACCAGGATCCCCGTCCAGTGCACAGGAATCCCAAGTCTTTTAGATGGCCTGACTCCTGTGGGAAGAGTTTGCCTCAGAGCTAGGAGCTAGGAGCTCCCTGGGAGCTGTGCTCTATAATCAGTTGCAACCCCAACTTCCCTGTGGGGAGAAGAATGAAGAATGAAATTTCTGGGGTCTCGGCCCTGGAGACCAACCCCCATGGAGCCTCCTCGCTGCAAGCACCCAGAGGCCCACCACCTGTCTGTCACCTGTTACACGGCAGGAGAGGAACGTCCCGCCATGCTGGGAGACAGCTTCTTGCTGAGAGAGATGCCCAAGTAGTGCTGTCGTTCACCCACACGCAAGCTAAGAGGAGATGCAAAGCCCCGCTCACAGCAATCTAGGGCATCCCATGCAGCTGTCCTGTATTCCAACCACCAGGGACCCCAGAACCAACCAGTGGCTCCCATCCTTCACTTGGCATCAAAACCAAAAACGCAGACACTCCAATAAGCACCCACAGAAGTTCAGTTGACCAGGGTTGAGGCCTGGGCCTCAGGATTGTTTGAAAGCTGCTCAGGTCATTGGCACCCTGCAGTCTAACCTCTCCCTTTCCCAGAGCAGAAAACTGAGACCCAGGCAGAGGGGCTGGTGACACATTAAAGCTAGGCCCCAGGACCACTGGTCTGGATTTGGGGGGCCTTTGCACCGCCAAACCAGTATGCCCCACAATAGTCAGGCCAGGTTGTGAGAGATCAAAGGAAAGGGGAGAAGGCCCACCCTGGTTCCCAGCCCCGGTTGGAAAGGCTGGCCTGCCCTCCTGAGTGAGCCAACTCTTCACTCTCAGGGTCTTCTTCATGAGTCAGGTAGTGGGAAGGTGACTGAGTAGGCAAATAGCCGTTTCAGCCCTGGTTGGCACTTTTGAGCACCTACCTTATGCAGACACTCTTGCTAAATCTTTTGCTGGCATTTGCTCATCCCCGAGATCCACTGTTTCTGGCTGGAATTGCTCCACACTTTCCAAGAGAAAAACGCGAGCTGGTGTCCATCACCAGATGAATGGATAGAAAGTGCGGTTTATATGCATAATGAAGTATTATTCAGCCATAAAAAAGAAGGAAATCCTGCCATTTGCAAACAACAAGGATGGACCTGGAGGGCATTATGCTAAGTGAAATGAGTCAGACAGAGAAAGACACACACCACCTGAGCTCACTTAATGTGGAATCTAAGAACATGGAACTCTGGGAACCAGAGAGCAGCTTGACCGTTACCAGGGGCTGGGGTGGGGGAAGCGGGAGAGCGGGTGAAAGGGTACGACCTTCTGGTTATAAGGTGAAGAAAATCTGGGGGTGGCGTGTGCAGCATGGCGACTCTAGGTGACAATCCTGTACGGTGTGCTTGAAGGTTGTAGGAGAGCTGCACTTGACCGTTCTCGCCATAACAACAACAACAACAGCGTGCTAATTATGGAGGTGAGGATGTGTCAGCTAACCTTATTCCGGGAAACATTGCACAATATATACATGTATCAAGTCATCACTTTCTACATTACATGTCAATCAGATCTCAGTAAAGTTGGGGGGTGCGGGGCAGGAACCCAAGCAGGGCTTTACCCGACTTTACTAGGCAAGCCCTGCTTAACAAAATCCAAAAGGTCTTGCTTGGAATTTCTGTCTGACAGCCAAGGAGCTTCAATCCTTGCTCAAGGCAGGCAATGCCTGGTCCAGCTCCAGGCCTGGCCATGCCTGACCACGCCTGGCCACGGCTCCCGAAGGTGCCGAGCACAGCGCCAAGAGTCGGGACGCCTGAGTTCTAGTCCCAGCTCTGCCCTCGTCCGCGGGGCAGATCACTTCCCTTCTCTGGGCCTCAGTTCCACCGTTCACTAAAATGGAGGGTCGAACGTTATCGAGGATCTTTGAAATTGTTCTGTGCGGGTCAACACTTTCTTCATGTAAAGCTGCGTGTGGAACACACAGATGATTGTGAACCTGGCAGCAGGGCCCACACAGCCTTCTCACTCCTTGAAGCTTCACGAGGCCCTCTTCCGTTCTGTCATCCTGGGATTCAGTGCGAGGAGGGGGAGAGGGGAGACGGGTGTGAGTTAAGAGGGGAGAGTGAGGCAGATGGGGCCTGGCAGCCCCCTTGGTTCACATCCAGATTTCCCCTTTCCCACAGGACATGGGCTCCGGATATTTTGGCGTGTTTCCCAATCTGTGAAGT